ACCACAGGTTCAAGAGCAAAGTCAAAGCAGATGTTGCAATTAAAACATCCGTTGTAGTTTCCAGTCTCTGTCATCATGGAACTTGGAATGCCTTTCCATTCCTGGGAAATGCAGTGTTCAAAGGCCATGAATCATGGACACAATTCTCACACCTTTTTCCAACAGTGCTCCTTTAACCCTGGAATGGAGAATAGATTAATTCAGATCAATAAGTTAATTACATGTGATTGAATTTAGTTTAAGGCGAGGGCAGTGTTCATATTTACGGTTGAATGGAATAAAGAACCATCAGTACACAACATGAAGGTAGAAATTTCGATTATAAGTAATAAAATGCAAGCTGAAGACGATTAGATTGATTCTAAACTGCACAATTATTTCTCCTTATTAAACCCACTCTTAATTCAGATTTCACCAGTCCAGTGTCACCATAGTGAAGCTATCAATAGAGAATATAGAAGCTATAGCAAACTGTACTATTATAAATCATGAACAATGCAACTCACTCCTCAAGTTTCATGCCATGCACATTGGCCCACTTAGTTTTCAACAAAACTATATTTTCCAATTGCCATTTAGTACCACTGATGAAACCAAGTAGAATATTTATGAATCTAAGGCAAAATGCTAGCCCATATTAAAGTCATCATCATTGCTCTATGGACAGAGTTAAGAGACTGTCGTGAAACATATCTGAAATTAATGATACCTACCATGTAGGCACGGATAATAAATATTATGAAGCTTCCAAGCCCATTGACAACCCTACAAGAACCACGTGTCTAAAAGGATGCAAAACAAGAGTCCTGATCTTAGATCAATACCGACAGGCAACTGCTAGAACATGGGTCACCTAAAACATCTTATACTATGACATTAAAAGCGAAAGGGCCTACTAATTCTGAGAAATAAACCTAAATTTAAGATTCTTACAGACATAATCAAAGGAACGCCTTTTCCAAATGTTTGACTATCAAGAATTGTAACAAGTTGTGAACAAATGAAGAGAGTCCAATTCATTCAAGCGATAAGACACTAACAAGCGATTCCATAAGAAACAAAGAAGAAAATCAGACTATCAGAGTCAGTCTTGATGTACAATGCAATCCCTAAATTTCATTGCATTGCTGGGTGAGTTTCAGAACATGCCAAAATACAATATACTAAAATCGCATCATTTTGCTTCGTTTTGTTCATTTTCTTCATGATGAAGCCCCCATACTTCTCCTGTGAGTTCTTTTTCCCCTTCAGAGCTGTTTCTCTTTATTGTCTTTGTCTGTGAGTGAGTTAAGCAAAGCTTGGATCTTTCTTTTGCATCGTCTTTGTCTTTATTTTGGTATATGCCAATTAGTGAAGCTTACTTCCAAATCACCGAGCCTCTGTTCATTTTTGTCTGTGAACGAAGCTTGCTAAATCATTCATTTGCTTAGAAGCTTCAGCATTTGTCTTTTTGCTCCTATTCATTAATCCACAGTCGTTGCTCATAAAAAACCGTTGCTTCATTCGTCTCATTGCAAGTTCTACGTTTTAATGAGTTGATGTGTTGCATATATATCTAATAGACTCAACTTTTTTTTTTTTTTTGTTCTCCTACATATCTATGGTGTTTTCCCCAATAGGTGCGTTGTATCACTGCCTTTTAGATTTTAAGTAGACAACCTAATTGTCAAACGCCTGCCAAGAGTAAAAGAAAGATGCCCATATCTTCAATTAGCTAAAGAGCTCTCAGGATCTTAGGGCTATTGGCAGACATATAGTGCTCTAGCCAATTCTACAGCATTGGACATACTTATAGCAGATAGGTAAACAAGAACATTCATCGTGTCCTATAAGAAATTTCATGCAATTACCAAAACATTAGATAACAAGTAAACAATGACATAACTAAAGAATCATTACGGATGCCAGATAGGTCAACCATCCTATCAGGACCTCCCAGACCAAACGAAAATGCCATCTAATTCAGAACACAGAATGGTCAATTCTCAATTGATTGATATTTATGAGCCCAGCAAACCTGAATGTTGCCAAAGATCAAAAGAAAGCAAAAGCACAAGATCGAGCAAGCTAGGACATTCAATCAAAATCAAATGAGAACAATCACAGGAGAAAAAACAAACCCAGAGCATTGAACCGGCTTTCATTTCCAGAGTCTAACAGAACAAATCGGAGACAACAATTAAAAAAATGTGAAGAAATAAACATACCCAGAAAGCAAAAAAAAGGAGAAATTTTGCTTTTAAGTTCCTTCCGTCCGAAGCCAGAGAAACTTCTTCGAAGAAGCTGCGATGGCGAATTGGATAAAGACGGATAAAGGAGAGAGATGCTTGGGAGGAGTGAAGGTGGGGTTTGGGACAGGAATGGAGGAGCGCGTCTTTCGTTGGGGTTTATATAGGGAAGGAAAATCAACTTCCCTCGATACGCACATAGGCTTCACTCCTCACAGGAAATTGAGGACCCACCTCATTGTGACGTGGCACTGCGATCACATGCACGAACCAGCTTCTGTTTCGGCGTTCATCGTACGATGTCTAGGTAATTGTAGTAAACATCTCATTTGCTGAGCAATTCTTGCGTGTCCATCGACATCGTTAAATATTTTTAAAACTTTTCTAAGCGGAATTTTTTCCCATACGTCATCAATGTACATTAATTATTGTTAAATAATTATTTTTTTTGACCGGAATTGTTAAATAATTATTAAAACTTTATATATGTGTGAATGGCTATATCTAAATATTCTTTAAAGTTTTACCCAAAAAGTCTATACCATTATAGTAATCACTACAAAAAATCTTTTATTTTCTTTGACGGTGTTCCGGTGTTTTTCTTTTATTTCTCTTATTTTTCTTGTAACTTATATATTTTCCAATATTTTTCTTGATTCAAAAAATTTTTTCTTCAGTTTTTTTATATCTTTACCATGCAGGAAAAATAAGTATAAACAATATCTTATAATTAGGACAAAAAATAGTACTCGTGTTATACTACCACTAGTCTTTAATATAAGATCATGTTTGACTTTTATTTTGATCTTAAATATAAGACCCCAATCCACTTTATTTCTCATATTTATATTTTTTTTTAAAATAGCCCTTCTAATAATGATAGTTCTAGTCAATACATTTGATTAGCAAGACTATTTTAAGAAAGATAACACCTATTTAGGACAAATAACTAACTCAACTTACTTCTTTAATCTCCTCAAATTAGTCAACTAGCTCTTATAATTAGGATCGGAGGTAGTATAAAGTTTTAATTTGATCTCTCTATTTTAATTAGTATATTTTTAGTTTTTTAGCTCTAGAATTATTAGTCGATTTTTTATAAAAATAATAATTATTTTAAAATTAAATTTAATATATTAGTATTTAAAGTGTTTTATCAATATTTAGTCCCTTTTTTTTGTTCACGGTTTAAAATTAAATGAATAAAAATATATTTTTTAAAGTTAAGAAATTAAATTTATACTGACAATAGGAATAGAATCATTATGAACGTCAACATTAATAGAATCTTTAGGTTTTGTTAATTCGGTGTTTAGTCCGTGACTAACTGCCTATGTTAACACAAAATCATATCAATTTAAATTTGCACACATTGTCAAGTGATTTTCCAAACTCGTTTTATTATATGCTCACAACACACACACACTTACACACTCTACTATATACATATAACTGTATAATTAAGTTTACTTAATTAAGATTTAAGTTCACGCTTTGTCCATATTGATAACGCCGTTGTGCTAACCTGATTCTCCGGACTGATGATAATTTTTTTTATTCTTCTCAAAAGTTTTTCAATCATTGTCCTGCAACCTGCAATGTAATTAGAAATTCAATTATATTCTTCCCATTTCAATCTCATGCATGTTATAAATGTGATTAAATAATACATACATCGTTAGTGTTCACTGAATTTTAACTCTCACATTAAATAATCAGACAATAACAATCTAGATTTTTTTTAATTAATGAAAAAAATCATGAGAATATATGTCATCTCACTTCTTGAAAGAAAGTGACACATATAATTAATCATTAAATATTTAGGTCCCATACAACAATGCAATACTGTAAAATGATTACTTAGATGCTCATGCAAATAATTTTTTTCTAAACAACAAGTTACACGTACTTACCAGATATCATAAATTTTGAAAGACGTGTTGTGTTTAATAACAAATTAGATTGAATCCGACGAAAATGACTAGTCTTTCATAATGTGATTAATTAAGATTGACTAATCCTTTATAATGTAATTAATTAAAATTAACTAGTTCTTTATAATATGATTTATCAAGATTTAAACCCCAGCAAAAAAAAGCCCGACAGATTGACGTCTTCATTTTCAAAATCTATAATCTAATCTTAATTTTAATATAATTTTTATTAGTTAAAATTTAGGGTGAGAATTTTAAAATTATCAATCTATCCTCGTAATCTAATTATCTACTTTCTTCTTTTTTTGGGCCAACTATCTATTTTTCTTTCTACAAGTTTAAATAAATACATTATAAGAACTGTTTTATATGTAAGACCGGATAATTATATAATTAAGCAAAGCAATATTTAACTAAATATTTTGACAAATGTGTTAAAAATATCTTTGAACAACATGTTTTCATGTCGTAGTATATAGTACATCGCCTAAAATTTGCAGGAACTGCACTTGTCATGGCTCACAAAAGTTCGAACTTCGAAGGCTTTTGGCAATTTTAGATTTAATATCTTAATTTCATAATGTAAATACTAATAGAAAAATTAAAAAAAGAAAAAAACTGTATTTCCCTCCACAATTTAACTAAAAAAATGGTTTTTTAAATCTCGCAAAAGTTTCAGAAACCCAACCGCCTGAGCGCGCTAAATTTCTTGCAATTCACAAGAATTGTAAACATATTGAATCTCTCACTAATAACGAAGAAGCTACGCTTCACTGAGCTTCGATTCATCTGCAATGTCTACAACGAAAATCGGAACCAGGAAACGAGCATCCGAGCCTGATCTCGCCGTCTCGGACAAGAAAAAACACGTCGGAGAGAATTTCGACTTCGATTTTGATCTCTCCGAGTTCGTCTTCCGATAACAGTTTCCCTTCGTCTTTGCTTTTTTTTTTTTGGTTGGAGTACTATTCTGAAATATCTTAAGAAATTCGAATCATGGCGATGACTTTGCAGTGATCTCAAAGGAATCATGACTGCGCTGCAACACATAAGAGAGAGAGCTCAGATGGACGATCAGAAGAAGAACGAAGAGACAATAAGCAGGTACTACGATGCCATGTGATCATAATTGAAGATTGTTCTGTTGTGAACTCTAATAAGTATTTAGTGTTTGCAAGGTTTGTGCATTTTTTTGCGATCTGGCTTTTGGTCTTGTATAGTGAGAAATCAATGCAAGCTGTTTCAGTGAAGTTGCATACTTATCTGGCATTCGAACGGTTACTGAAGTCTGTTTTAACTTATTATTTCGAATTCGAGAAATGTTCTTCTTACAGATTTAAAATTCTATAATTATGATGCCGTGAGATTGAGTTATGAGAGCTTCGCTGCTAAGGCTTTGTGAGTACTGCTTTCTGTTTGTGACAGCGTGGCAGCTGAAATCAAGTCTATGATTGAGGAACTGAAGTCCAAATTTGAGAAGGATAGGTAAACTTGAGGCCATCTTATTCCAAATTCAGTGTTATACTTCCTATATCTCTTTTTAACCATATTGAGTTCTGTTTCATCGGGCTAACCAAGGATTCCCCCCCCCCTCTTCTTTACACTGTCAGACAAAGTTTTGCTAAGGCACTTTCAAAGAGTTCCAAAGACGTATGTGACAATAGTTAACAGCCAATACGATTGCTTCAACTCATAAGAAAGGAATTACATGTTACTTGGAATTCAATTTGTTTGTGTTTGTTGTCTTGCAGTGTGAGAATTCCTTGAAGAATGAAACTGTGAAGTTCCAATCACTATACGAGAAATTTTCCAAGGAGAAGGCTGCCCATCTACAGGCCTTGAAAGGTACTTGCACCGCTGTTATCATCAACAGCTCTGACCCTATGAAGTGCAGTGCTCCTTTTGCAATTACATTTATAAGATTCAAATGAAGATGGATAATAAATAAAGGTGAGATACCTCACGGAACCGTTTCAGACAATCAAAACACTGGAGCTCTTGATTAAAAAAAAATTATGCTTATTGTGTCATGTATTCAGTGCAAGCCATCAGCCAACGGGCTTCTGTAAAGTTTATTCTTGGATCTACTTTTACGTATTAACACCGGGTTTGAATTGGAAAAGAAGTAATGACATGTCTTGTATTGCCTATTTGGAGTGCTGTTTATCGTGGGATCTCTTTTGGTATCTTCTATATACCCGGAAAAAAATGGATCAATGATGGACAAGCAGTATAATCAAGTCATTTATCTTGCAAAAATTCAATTTATTTACCACTTAATACTCGTACAAGCATCATTTTCAGAATGCAAGGGAGCCGATCTTTATAATCAAATCATTTTATCTTGCAAAAATTCAATTGCATGCAGATTTCATATACACGATCAATCATTATCCCATTAACTCTCTCAGAATAAATTTGGACATGTTTTAAGCGACCATTTAGTACTCTTTGCTTAATGCATTAACTGAGGTCTCTGTTTGCTAGATATATTCTCTAAATTTGAGGAAGAGAAGGAAAAGCTGTTCTTGAGATACGAACAACTGAGTAAGCCTTAAGACTCATTTCATCTTTCTGGTGAAAAATGATAGGAATTTGAGGCCATTGCTTTATGGAATATCTTCTTTAAATGCTTTCTTTATGGACATTTATCACCATTTCAGGAAAGAAGGAAAGAAATATGATATCTCAACAAGAAAAGGCCTGTAATGATAAAATTGCCAAACTGGAGGAGTCCTTAAAAAAGAAGAAACAGGTATATATGTGCTAATAATTAGCATTGAGTTCTTGGATTCGCAACTGCTTTTGCTCCTACGTTTGTTATTTAGTTTATACCCGCACAGCACAAAGCTCACCTTTCTGAGCAGAAACATTTAAACAACTCATTTTGACCACGCAGGATGACAAAACTTTCAGCATTTTGAGGAAAACTCTGGGTTCGTTTTTGGATAGTGCCTCAGATGAGGATTTTCCGCCTGATGATTGAAACTGCCAGCCCATGACTCTGTTCGTTTCGCTTGGATATGTAATTAAAGATGAACTTTATATCGAATCATTTTTCTTTGTTAAACACCTTCCATTCGCGACTAGATTTTGAAGTTATAGCACTCAGTAACGGAAATTCAATATCTAATGTGTGCTTATTCAGAGATCTTTTCCAACTGCTATGGTTATTTCATATGCCAGCCACTCTTCCGTTTTTAGTCTTTACGAATAGAGAACTTGATACAAACTTCATATATATATGTTACTAGTTTTTTAATGATATGTTTTTGCATATCGGTTCATATTCATAGTTCTGCAGTTTAATATTGCATGATTAAAATTTTTGAAATATTTTTTGCCTATTTGTTTTATTAAAAAGAGGGGATCCTAGGAATTCGATATATTGTAGTTAGTCCTTCAATATCACTCAGGCGAGTTTGGTCACTGATGGTCACCAATTACTTACAAAACAGCATGCGTGAAAGTAATTAATTGGATCTCCATTCCCGCGTTCATAGCATTTCCAGTAACCAAATAACCCCATAGGCGCATAGGTTCTAGCTGTCAAATGTTTAAAAGTGAGACTGGTGTCTTTTTTCGTCGCTTTAAGATGCCCCAAGGTGGGGGGAAAATGAACGAAGTATTACTCCTATGAACTACAATTTGCGTGAACAAATTATTTTTCCCCCTGAAAGTAATAATATATCGATAACTCAGTTCACCTGGGAATTTGGAATCTCCCATCCATGGTTCTGAAGCATATCCTCATATATACATGACGGTGGGACCCAACTTATTATCTGTAAAGATATACACCGTATACACACAAAGGAGAAGGGAGTCCTCAAGTTTACGAACATTTCCTCGCCTTGTTTCGCGTCATCCGCAATCCTCATTTTCCTTTCCTTCCGCTTTTGCTTCTGCTGCTATCTGTAGCATGAATTTCATTTGATTGTCAAATCGGAACGGCGAGCCTCTGAGTTACTAGAGAGAGAAAATGACCTGCGTAGGGGCTGTCTTCACCGCCCCTTCCTGCTCGGCTTTAATTCCCCATTCTTATTCCACGCCACGGCCTACCCTTCAGCTTTCTTCTCGTTCATCTGCAGCTTTATTCATCCACTGCTCGACTTCTAGTTCAGAGGCTACCTCAGGTGAGATTATGAGTCTTGATCATTGCACGCAGAATTTGTTGATGTAATGATGATGTGTGTCTATATGAGCCGGTGGAAGGGAGGTTATTAATGATTGGCAAGTTTACTTGTTGAAATTGAAATTGCTGTAAAAGATTAGGGGTTCAGTTCTGAACTGTTGTATTCTTGTTGGGATAATTTTATCATGTAGGTTAATTGCGTGACCATAATAGTTGTGAAGATTAAAGAGGACTGCTTTTGTCATGTCTCGTTGCCCGTTTCTGCTCACATTTGAGGCTGGCATTGTTATGTCTTTTTGTTAGCTTTTTTAAGATGAATAGTTTTGAAATGTGTCAGAAGTTAAATGTTTGATTTGTTTCACAAGTCTTTATGTGGGGCTAAATTCATAAATTTATATGGAGGCAGGGGAAAACATGGGCATTTTTATTTTAATTCTTCTATTAATTGAGTTAAATTTCGTTTCTGTGGGGTTTTTATGCAGAGAAACTTGCAACTGTTGATGGTTTTCCTCTGACCGGTGGCGCATACGATTTCACGCAAGCAACAACGTCACTAACTAATGAGTCAATCTCTTCATCGAAGACGGTAATTCTAATAAGGCATGGTCTGAGCACTTGGAATTCGGAAAGCAGGATTCAGGTTTGCGATTTATCTTTTAAATTATCTTCTCTCTTCTGCCTTCTAGCATCAAGAGAGGCTGTGAATGATAATATAGTAATTAAATAGTTCTACCTCCTTCATGTCTTTTGTTGAATGTTTTTTTAATCACTTCAACTGTTCAATACTTATAATACCACTTTTGTGAATTCAAGTATCTAGTAACTGAGTTATTTAGATTTTCACACCAGACTCCATCCTTCCGTTGCATCCTACATATATAATCATTAAATTGCTGATATATGCACAGGGAAGTTCAGACTTATCAATACTAACAGAAACTGGAGAGAAGCAAGCAGAAAGGTGCAGGAAAGCCTTGGAAAATATATATTTTGATCAGTGCTTTTCAAGTCCAATATCTCGTGCCAAGGTTGGGGATCTGGGAAACTTAGCTCTAGAGGTTGCCAATATGGATTTTCATTTTACTTAAAATGTTTGGCATTTTGATATAGCAAACTGCTGAGATCATGTGGCAAGGGAGGGATAAACCACTTGTTTTCTTTGATTCACTCAAGGAATTGTGTTTATATCATCTCGAAGGCATGACAAATGGTAAGATTTCTCTGTTCAACTGAAAAGTTCAGCCACTTTACTTTCTATTAATTTTATGGCAACAATCGATTCTTGGTGAAATTGAGCGTACTCTCTTAAAATGCTGTTAAAATATAATTTGTATGTCACTTCTGGATCCAACCTATATTCTTTCCTATAACTTAAGCGTACACTGACACAGTGTGTTCCTGGTTTGGAGGCAGCGGATGCTAAGAAAATATATCCAGAAGACTATACAACCTGGAGAGAAGATCCGGCGAATTTTTTCATAAATGGTAGATATCCTCTAAGAGATCTCTGGATAGATGCAAGAAGGGCTTGGAAGAAAATCTTACTGACGCCTGTAAAGATCTTCTCCTTGTCATTTACTTTTGCAAGTAAAAGTTTTTGAGGCAACATCTAAGTTTGTGTCTCATTCATCAGGGAGAAAGCTTCCTTGTTGTGACTCACAAATCTATATTGAGGGCATTGACTTGCACTGCCTTGGGTCTGGGCACAGAGAGGTGAGTATTCTTGGTGTTATAATTTCAAATTTACATGAGTAAAACTTTCAATATCTAAGGGTTGTGATTTCAAGTTTTGTTGGTGTTGTTATTAAAAGGATACTGCTAACTTCTGAACTTATTACGTACTGATTATTCTCCTAGTTAAAAGTAGTAGAAAGCTTTAGCCCTGTCTTGCAGCGTCAAAGCTTTCTTGTTATTGCTGTTGATCACAGTAAATGCTCAAATAGTACTCTTTTTTGGGTTATGTTTGAATGGAGGAGAATTTAAAAATATCAAATGTATTTTGGTTCATATGGAGCAATGCGCCTTTATCTCCTGAGGAGGGGATTTAGTTTTGCGAGAATTCCAAAGTAGAACAAAACTAGAGTAGCCCGTTTGAAATGTCAAAACCACTGGCTTTTGCATGTTGAAGCAACTTTCAGATGCTTTCTTTCTTTCCGTGAAGTAGCTAGTTTCTTGACATTGAGCCTGAATCTTGACGTACAGGTTTCGCGCACTTGACATCAACAATGGCGGGATATGCAAGTTCAGCTTCAACGTCAGAGGTGAAGCTATGCTTCAGGCTTTGAACATGACGGCTCATATGTACAGTGATCATGTCTATCCTCCTAACTGAAATTCTTAAACAAGTTCACTCAATGGTGATGAAACAAAATGTGACTACTATCTATCTCATCTTCAAAATGTTCCGTTAAGAACGCCAAATCTGGGGATGGTGGATCCAACAATTAAAAGAGGCAAGTCAATTCTTCAGCAGTGAGGGACTGATTGTTTGTGGGATTCAATTCTACCACATTAGACAGAACCAGAGGAATCAAAGTACAATATGTGTTCTTTATAATGTAAATTCCATTGCTGAGTGTAATGAATTCGTTACATGACTTGTTTCTTTATCAAGATATTTTAAAGATTCTTATGGTTGCCGGTTTTGCAAGGATGGGGTATTTGTAATGGGCGTTGAGGAGAATTTTACCCCTCTTAAACATCAGTAAACTCAATTAAGATCCATTAGAGGTGGCAATCTAAAGTTTTTTTTTGGGGCCCGGGGGGGTGTGAATTCATCTTTTTTTCTTCTTGGTTATAACTGGATTTCTATTCCAAGAAAGTCAAGTCACATGGTCCATTGATAAGGTGGCTGGCACAAATTTAACCCAAAAAAAAAAATTGTTAAAATTTTTGCAGAGAACTCAGATAGTACTATGTGATAAAGGGTTTGCCTGTCATTTTTGTCTCGTTTAATCTCAAAACATTTACAATGTAAAATTTTCAGGATTTTTTGGGCCGTTTACGGTATATTGCTCAAAAAGCTGAAAGAAAGTTGAAGTCTTTCAAGTTTTCACTGTATTTCATGGCAAATTTTTCATGGAAGCTACACAGTTAAGAGAGAAACACCAAATTGCAGAAGGATCTTCACAATCCGCAGAATATCGAGCTTTACTCCGCGCAGGCCCGCGTCTGCGGCTTCTACGACAAGCCCATGCCCATCTCGTCGTCTCCGGCTGCCACCGCAGCCGAGCACTTTTGACGAAGCTCATAATATTGGCTTGTACCGCCGGTTCCATCGCCTACACTCGCCGACTCTTCTACGCCGTTGTCGATCCTGATTCCTTCCTCTTCAATTCCCTCATTAAAGCCTCCTCCAAGTTCGGTTTTTCCTTCGATGCTATTATCTTCTATCGTTACATGCTACTTGCCGGTATCCCGACTTCGACTTACACCTTCACGTCTGTGATCAAAGCTTGTGCTGATCTCTCGGCTTCGAGAGTTGGCAGTGCCATTCATGCCCATGTTTTTGTTAACGGGTACGGGACCGATTCGTTTGTACAAGCTGCTCTGGTTACCTTGCACGCGAAATCAACTAATTTGGGTGTCGCACGGTCAGTGTTTGATAAAATGCCGGAGAGAACTATTGTCGCTTGGAACTCCATGATTTCAGGGTACGAACAAAACGGGCTTGCGAAGGAAGCATTAGCGCTATTTCATGAGATGCAAGCATTGAACATTAATCCTGATTCTGCAACTTTGGCTAGTGTATTGGCTGCTTGCTCTCAGTTGGGGTCACTCAACTTGGGATGTTGGGTGCATGATTACATCATCAGCAACAACATTGAAGTCAATGTGATTCTTGGTACCTCACTGATCAACATGTTTTCTCGATGTGGTGAGGTGACACGAGCACGGGAAGTGTTTGATAACATGCCCAAACGAAATGTTATTGTGTGGACAGCCATGATTTCTGGGTATGGAACTCATGGTTATGGCAGTCAAGCTATGGAGCTTTTCGATCAAATGAAAACAACTGGGCCACCTCCAAATACAGTCACCTTCGTTGCTGTCTTATCCGCATGTGCCCACGCTGGGCTTGTTCATGAAGGACAAAGAGCATTCACAAGCATGAAACAAGACTATGGTCTGGTCCCTGGAGTGGAGCACCATGTTTGCATGGTTGATATGCTTGGGCGAGCTGGGTTGCTCAATCAAGCAAATCACTTCATCAAACAACTACATCAGAAAGATCTCGTTCCGGCGGTATGGACAGCGATGCTTGGTGCCTGCAAAATGCACAAGAATCTTGATCTCGCAGTGGAAGTTGCAGAACACCTCTTATATGCAGAGCCAGACAACCCTGGACATTATGTCTTGCTTTCTAACGTGTTTGCATCAGCTGGTAGAATGGACAGAGTGGAATTGGTCAGAAACATGATGATCCAGAGAGGCCTGAAGAAGCAAGTGGGGTACAGTATCATGGATTTGAACAACAAATCTTACTTGTTCAGCATGGGTGATAAATCCCACCCAGAAGCGGATGAGATTTATCAGTATTTGGATGACTTGATACTGAGGTGCAAGGAAGCAGGTTATCTACCTGCTCCTGAAGCGGCAATGCATGAGTTGGAAGAAGAAGAGAGGGAATACGCACTTAGGTATCACAGTGAGAAGCTTGCAGTAGCATTTGGTTTGATGAAGACAAGCCATGGCGTGACTCTGAGGATTGTTAAGAACCTTAGGATATGTGAAGATTGCCATTCAGCGATCAAATTTATCTCAAATCTGACAAGTAGAGAGATCATCATTCGGGACAAGCTTAGGTTCCATCATTTCAAAGATGGCTCGTGTTCTTGTTTGGATTATTGGTGACGGAATTCTTACCCGCTCGGAAATTGTTTGGTTAGGACATAGATATGGAGGGAACGAGTTCTCTATTATCCCATTATTTTATCTAACTTCACAACATGGAGGGAATGAGTTCTCTATTATCCCATTATTTGATCTAACTTCACAATATTTTGACTGGGTAAAGCAATTATTACAATCCCTTCACTTTGATTTTTTTTTTTCCTTTTGTTTTGTTATTCTTCACCTGTGCAAAGGATTTAGGTGCCGATCATATTTAGAGGTGGGAATCAGGGCTGACCCGGCCTTCCAGGGCCGGTCCTTCAAGGTTGGCGGCTTAAAAGGGCCAGCCTTCCAGGGCTGAAATTTCAAAAATACTCTAATTTGCTAAGCCTAGCCCTTAAGCTAACGGGTTCAGGGCCGGCCTGCGGGCTTTTGGCCTGTTTAAGAAAAAAAATACTATTTTTTATATTTCTCACATTTTTTATCAAAAAAATAAAAACAAACCAATAAAATTGTTAATAAAAAACATAAATATAAATAAAATTAAGTCACAAATATAAAATATCATCATATATAAATATTCACCAACGTCCAGTAACATTTAAAACATTCATTAACAAAATAACAATATCAAAAAGTTTTATACATAGTGCAATTATGCAATAAATAAAAACTATCTTTAATCTTTTGAAATTCCATCATCACTATAATCAATTACTCTTCTTTATAAGTATACTTTTCTTTCGTAACAAAAATATCAAGTTTTTCTTCTTTATAAGAATTTTACTTTTAAATTTTATAATCTAGTTATTATTTAACTTTAATATGAGAAACATTGTTGCTGAAACTCATGAATTTTTAATTCAAATTATAGAATCACAAGTTATATAAGTATAAAAATACTCTATTATCAAATATATATAGTTTAAAAATATCAACGCATATAATATAAATCAAATCATTATTAAAATCCAAATTAACCCATTTTTTAAAATTTAATTGGATAAATTATTGTCTAAAAATTAAATAAATCAAATCATTCTGTAAAATTTAATTTTAAAATGATAATAATAACTAAATATTTGAAATATTATCAATAATGTAAAAAATTAATAATATTAGAATTACATAAAAAAATTTTAAAAAATAAAAAAAATTATAAAATGACTTAAACGGGCCGGTCCTTTTAAGCCTTCGGCCTTCCAAGGCCTGTTTCCCATTTGAGGGAAAAATTTCAAACCCACCCTCATAATTTCAGGGCCTAAAAAGGCCGGTCCACGGGCTCAACCTGTTTTTTCAGCTCTAATCATATCTGTAGAGGTCAAATACACAACCTCACCAATAAGGTGATGCTTAGTATTAGACTCTGGCCTTTTACTTTGATTTTTTGAACAAGTATTTTTTTATCATATAAAAGTTTAATACCTTTAATCTCAGAAATATAACAAATATATTTTTATTTATGTCTTTTTAATTTTCACCTGACAAATGGAACGTGGTGCGGTCTCTCAATAGTCGATCAAATCTCCATGATGACCTTGACTAGCAGGTTATCTCCATAATGAAGCAGAGGAACTTGAGGTTTACGCCGGAGTGTAATGCGGGCCAGGGCTGACCAAGGAATCGCATACCTGCCCACCCCCTTCTCAGGGATTGACCCACTTTATATATATTTTTAATTTTTTTGTCAATCAAATTGTGTGTATCAATATATAATATGGGTTAGGAAAAAAATATATCCTCTCAAATGAAATCCACTGTTTTTTTGGCCAACCAAAAATAAGTCCGGCGTTATTGCTTGAGTTATGCATAATTTAATTTTGAGTTCAATTTTAATAAAATTTATTTCGAAAAAAAATTGCACAATTTACTTGCAAATTGATCAACTTCAAATCATTGAAGAAAAATGTTCTCAAAATATATGATTAAAACGAAACGTTGTATAAATGCAAGAGTCATTTAAAAAGCTAGTTTGGTCTTAAATATAAAACATTATTTTATTTTATTTTTTATATTCATTTTTTTTCAAACAGATTTATTCAATTTATAAATTGATATATAATCTAATGCTGCATATGGATTTTTTGGAAGATAATGTCATTTTTTAGCAAACGAATATGTTACGTTTATTAAAATTAACTAATTTATTAATTTTTTTAACCTACCTAAATTAATTAAATAATATTTACACTAAGAACCAAAAGAGTATAGAAGTAGATCCCCGCACGTCTATCTAATTATCATCAATTTACTTAAACTCATCAACTTGAGAATCAATAAGTAGTCATGTGACCCTTGTTTAGACTCTTTGGTTATGCATCTCAACAAAAAATAATAATCAACGGTTTTATAATTTTAAATTCTCTGTCGCACCTTGCAATTAGATCAAATATGACTTGTATAATGTACTCTCTTTGCATTATCACCTTTGAAGACCAAAAATTGCTGTAACTGTAACTCAAAGTACACGTAATTGGAGAGAAAGAGACGCAAGACTTAAAATTCAATTTTGTAGGTAATTACCTTTTCCTAAAAAAGTAGGACAGATAACAAAGATGCACGGTATATTCCCACCTTTTATTTAAGAAAAGAGAGAGAGAGAGAGAAAGAAAAAAGGGCAACGCTTGTCTCCCTCGCAACAAAGCTGTCTTCTTTTATTTGTCCTTTTTAGATAAAATAGCCACAGAATCTTTAGGACACGAAGAGTGAGCGATCACGAAATGACGAGTCAGTTTTGTTAATTTTTTTAATTTCTTTTTTGGGTCTAATCAGATAAAAATGATCTCACATTTCTTAAATTACAAAATCCCAAGTAAAAATATTTAAAATACATATTATTGTCAAATTTTATTAAAATATTACTACAAAGGATACCATAAAGGTCAATAGACTTCGTGAAAATATTGGCAAAGGACAGACG